TCAATCACCCCTCTTTCAAAACAGGAAGACCATGTCACCAAAGACAGAAGCTCTTGCTCCTGATGAAGGCAATAACCTCTGAGAGCAGAGCCGTGACTGAAAGGTGTTACGCCTTGCTGTCGTTAGCAGAGATGAGTATTAGAATTCGGGCTCATTAGCTTATAGGGAAATGAAAGGAATGATGTGTTGTTACTTGGCAACGTGGCTTTTGTGGACTGAGCAGCCTGGAGGTGTAGAGGAAGCTGAAGGAGCCCATCAGTGTGACCTGCAGAAGACTTTAGACTGGATAGAGCAAATCTAACGCTGTTTTGTGTGGCACGAGCAAGACGCGAGCAGTTTGAGGAACTGCAGCGTTAGACGCCGCTTTCCTCGTCCTTGCCTGCTGCAGGGAGGGATGAAAACCACGGATCGGAGGGAGCATTATAGGTCTTTTCCTGCAGCGTCAGTCCTGGTCCATAGTCGTGGTTTAATCAAATGGCAGGTTCATGCTGAAGCTGGTTTAGGTATCAACAATCTCCCCTGGTCACGGGCCTGAAGAGGACAGTGGAATACGGGAGTCTCGGGTGCCTTGGTTTGCCGACGGCTGCGGTGGGATACAGTCCTCAGCCGTGCACAGACATCTCTATTTTATATTCTTTCCCTTCCATCAGAAATGTCCCTTTTGTTCTTCCCCTCATTTTGTTGCCCTTGAGTCTTCCAAGAAAAGCCATTTGCTCTTCCCTCCGCTGCAGGTGCATGTGCTTTCAGGTTTTTTGAACCAGTTTGAAAATCCTAACGTGAAAAAATAAAACCCAACGAAACAAAAAGAAAAACCCTTGGTCATTCAAAAATATCCGTTCGGGAGCTGTGAGGTGCTGTGCCCTGTGTTTTGGGAGGTGGCTTGCCCTGCAGGATGGGAGTGGTTCGCTTCTTCCCCTCTACAGAAAATTAAACTTTGTTTTAACAACAGGAAAAAACCCAAACGCTGAATTCTCGGCTAACCTCCCTCTCAGCTGCCATCAGCCAGCCTGTCCTGTCTTGGGTCTTCCTCCGAGGCCTCGTGTAACCCCGAGCCAGCTGGAAGCTGGGTACAGATTGCCAGTGTTTCGGTGAGCTTTCCTCCTTCCCAGCTTCTCGGGTAGCTTCCGCAGGCAAAGCCAAGGCTCCTGGGACCAGCAGGTCCCCGTGTAGGAGGCAATCCTTCGGTAGCAGAGGGGCTGACGCACGGCCCCGCTCTGGCAACGGGCGTGATTCTTGGCAACGAAGTGGTTTTATTCAGATGTAGATATACTAGTGCCCGAGAACCAACGTGGTGGAGCCACTGGCGACCATCTCGAGACGAGTTTTTTTAAAACATAGAAATACTTTTATTCCCGAGGTCCTGTGGTGCGTAAGCTGGCGTGTTAAAGCTTTCCCACGTGGCCTCAAGCACAGAAGGGGCAGGACAGACTCCATAATCCTTGGTGTGACACGCTCCCCGCTGCCAGAACATCCGTGGTTCTGGCCAGGCTGATATTTTGCGGGCAGCTGTGGAAGCTGAGGTCGCTGGCCTTTCCCAGCGCTTCTCCTGTCCCTCCAGTGCCCGCGGCTGGGTCCGCGCG